GAGGGGGGCTCGGGCCCGGGGCGGTGCAGCCCCAGGCCGGCCTTTCTGCCCGGGGCTGCCGGGCCGTGTCCCAGCAAGTCTGGTGGGGTCGTTTGGTTTCCTCGAGAGCTGTATTTCCTTCAGCCTTTCGAAATGGAGTGGTGCGGTGTGGAGATGGAGAGCTGGGGATGGACAGAAGTGACAGCGTGGGGGGCTGTCAACGTCGGAGGGAATTCTGGTTCGAAGACTGACTTCTTCCTTTCTTCCTTTCTTTCTCTTTAATGATTGCAGCAAGGGCTAGCAGCATGGGCATTTGTCATTTCCTGAGAAAACTTTGGAATTAAATGACTTGTTCCACTGCCAACGTCCCAAGTTATCCTTAACCAGACAGTGAAATCTGTATCTGTGCAGCTGGGGCAGACCTTTTCTAATGCAATGGGAACTATGCCGTGAGGACTGGTAAGACTTGGCCATAGCCATGACAGAGCCCCACAGGGTTTCGTTCACCACTCTTCACGGTCCACTGAGCAGCAGCTTCTTGAAAAGGTCTCGGAAGGATGATGGAGAGCAGCCCCAGGACTCTGAACCGGCTGCAACAGCCGTTCGCATCACACTTACTCTCTTTGAGCCGGATCACAAACGTTGTCCAGAATTTTTTTACCCAGATCTTCTGAAGAGTTGTCGTGGGAAGGTAAAAGGTGGTTCTTCAGGAGACAAGGTAAGTGTCCTCATGGCCTGTGGGGAACCTGTGTTGTATCTGGAGATTTCAAAGGCTTTTTCGGTATTGCTGTTTTAGTGGTGTTTTGAGAGTTGGTTGTGTGTTAGCTGTGAGGTGCTGAGAGGTGGAAGGAGAGCAGTTAGGCATCCTGCAGGCAGAAGAACTGGCTTCCAGGCAGGGGTTCTTGTCATCAGGCCACACTGTTGCAGTCCCTTGCCTTGGCTGGAATCTCACGTCGGAAAGGTGATGTGTTGGTGGCAGAGTGTGGGAGGTAATGCTCGTGTTGTTTGGAATTGCTTGATCTAAAGTGATTTTTGGTACATGGCTTGCTAGGAGCTATGAGGAGCTCTTTTCCAAAGAGCATCAAAAGGAGAGATGCTTCTACGATAGGTGGCTGTATCTTTTTTGGGACCCTGCCCTACTAAACATGAACATTTCCACCTTAGTGGCTGGCATCTCTTCCTGTGTGGTGGACGTGGTGCTTTGAGGCGTTGCCTGACAATTCTGTTTGCCTGTTGAAAGCCGTTTCTCAGGACACAATGGCGTGCAAACTTCTGTAGCATCTGATCTTTGTCTTATGGGTGTTTTTCTATGAAAAGAAAGTTGATTGGATTCTGCTAATTTTTACTGTTGCTCTTCAGAACTGTTTAGCAGTCAGTTGATGCTTCGTGCTTCTTTGGTTGTTTTTTTTGCGAGTCAGGAGAAGCAGAGACAGGTACGGAACTAGCTGAGAGAGCACCCAAAACTTGAAGAAACCCTCAGAATCATAGGCTGGTTTGGGTTGGAAGGGACCTTTAAAGGTTGTCTAGTCAAACTTCCCTGCAATGAGCGGGGACATTTTCAACTAGATTCAGGTTGCTCAGAGCCCAATCCAACCTGACCTTGAATATTTCCAGGGATGGGGCATTGACCACCTCTCTGGGCAACCTGTGCCAGTGTTTCACCACCCTCCGTGTAGAAAATTTTGTCCTTATATCTAGTCTGAATCTACCCTCTTTTAGTTTAAAACCATTACCCCTTGTTCTATTGCAACAGGCCTTGCTAAGAAGTCTGTCCCCATCTTTCTTATAAGCCCTCTTGAAGTATTGAAAGGCCGCAATAAGGTCTCCCCAGAACCTTCTCTTCTCCAGCCTGAACAACCCCAACTCTCTCAGCCTGTCTTCATAGGAGAGGTGCTTCAGCTCTCTGATGATCTTTGTGACCCTCCTGTGGACCCACTTGAGCAGGTCCTTATCTTTCTTATGTTAAGGGTGCCAGAGCTGAATGCAGTACTCTGGGGGGGTGTCACCAGAGCAGAGTAGAGGGGCAAGCTCCCCTCCCTCAACCTTCTGGCCACGCTGCTTTTGATGCAGCCCAGAATGCGGTTGGCTTTCTGGGCTGCGAGTGCACATTGCCGGGTCATGTCCAGCTTTTCATCCACCAGTACCCCCAAGTCCTTCTCTGCAGGGCTGCTCTCAATTCCTTCATCCCCCAGCCTGTATTGGTACGCTGCGGGTTCTCCCGATCCGGGTGCAGGACCTTGCGCTTGGCCTTGTTGAACCTCATGAGGTTCATATGGGCCCACTTCTTGAGCTTGTCCAGGTCCTTCTGGATGGCATCTCGTCCCTCAGGCATGTCAACTGCACCACGTGGCTTGGTGTTGTCGGCAAACTTGCTGAGGGTGCACTCAGTCCTACTGTCCATGTCATTCATGAAGATGTGAAACAGTACTGTACTGAATACTAATGGTTGATTTGTCTGAGCTTTTGCCTGGATGTGCTAGCCGTGATGGGTTTAATGCATGGGCTTTTGGTGGCAGTATGACAGGACCTATTCTGATGTTTTTGTCTCTTTTATTTCTACAGAAGAAAGACCCTGCTGATCCCTTTAACGATGATGAAAAGGAAAGGCATAAAGTGGAGGCTCTTGCTAGGAAGTTTGAAGAAAAATATGTATGTTTTTCTTCTTTCTATTATTTTATGCCTTAGAATGAGTAATGCTGTTCAGGTCTCAACCAGTAATATTTAATGGTCGTTGGCTCTTATGTTCCTGTTCTCGTGCAGTCCTTTATCTTGGCTGGAAGGTGCTGTTTTCTATGTTCCTTTCCTGTCTCAGGGCTGTGGTCCATGAAAATGGTTCAGATACATTCTTAAATCAGATGACAGTCTGATTAAAGTGAATGATGTTCTCACTTGTAGTGGCAAATAACTTATAAAATTTAATTTTCTTAAGCAAAAATTAATTTCTAGGCCTTGTAGCTGTGGCATGATGTAATCTATTAAGTCTCTAATTACGGTATGCTGGTGAGTCTGCTGCCCTTAGGATGGTACTGCGCTGGGTAGTACAAGAGACACTGATCTGTATTACCCATTTCCTTTCTGTTATTCCTCTCACTTTACTTCCATAGATGGCAATAAAACTACAGTATGTTTTATAACTGGCACATTTGGATAGCAAGTTGCTGTATTGTCTTGTGATACAAATTTGGCCTATGGGTCACCCTAATGCACTGTGGGTATGTTTGATGCATGTACTACTGAGTTTGTACCGATTGTATAGCAGTTATGGAAGAACAATCCATTTCTGGACGGGCAGAAATGTTGAAGGGGTGCAGACCCAATTCAACGTAAAGTCTGCTGGCACAAAGTCAGCCTGTCTGGCAGGTCAGCGTTTTGTTTCATTTGGCTGCACCATTTTTGGTTCCACATGACAAGGCCTAAAACTGCATTTACCATATCCTGAGATTACAGTATGGTGGGAGTTAATGCTGGTTGGGTTCTGCTGCTGCTAGGAGCAAAAAAGGTCTCATTCACTTTTCTGCACTGGAGCCAATGTCAGTGTCCTGTATCAGGGCTATCCCTGTGGTAACTGGAAAAGAAAGATGAAGACGTTGTCAATCTCTTATTGTTTAGGGTGGCAAGAGACGTAGAAAGGACCGTATTCAGGACTTGATTGATATGGGGTATGGATACGACGAATCTGACTCCTTCATTGATAATTCTGAAGCAGTGAGTACTGGGGCAGGTGTGAGGGTGGTTAAAGGCAGCTGCCTGGGGGGGTCTGAGCTGGCACCTGGGGAGAACCCAAACTGGGTGCAAGCCAGGAGTGTGCCAGGGCTGGGGAACGAGAGATCCTGGGGCAACCATGTGGCAGGAGAATGCTGGTTAGCAGGCATGTCCATAGCCCTGTCTGTTCTTGGGGGAGCCAAATCCCATGCCATTCTCCAAGCAGCTCAGCTACAGAGTAAAGTAACAAAGCTTACAGTGCCAATAGATTGTTCTCTGTTATTTCCAGTATGATGAGCTTGTTCCGGCTTCTCTTACTACAAAGTATGGAGGGTTTTACATCAACTCAGGAACACTGCAGTTTCGGCAAGCGTCTGAATCTGAAGATGACTATGTTAAAGAGAAAAAGAAGAAGTGTCCCAAGGTCAGCAAGCCAGCTTTCTGAATTACTTCTTCTGTTAGAGTTTGGAGGGTTTGCTGCATGGAAGTGTGTTGACATTCCAAGTAGAGTGAGATTTGTGAATTGATGTGAAGAGAATAGGGATGAGCACTTGAAATTCCATTCTGTCTGCATATTTGATAGTAAAATGAAACATGTCTGCCACGGATGAGACTCTGGTGGGGTTGCCTGGTTCCTAGAGTAGAGGTGACAGCAGCCCCTTGTCACTCTGAAAAGTCGCTTAGTATTATGAGGATGCCAAGATATGTGTGAGGGTTCTTTTCTTTCTCATCTGAGGCATGCTGGAGACTCTGCTGGGAAGCTAGTGCTCCTCTTTGGTGTCAGCATCTGTTGGCAACAACCTGCTTTTCACAATGCTGAAGTGAGGTGGCTATGAGGGGAAACAGCAGGAGCACCTGGCATCCCTTCACCTTTATTGATGGGATTGTCTCTGGTGCAAAAGCTAGGTGTGCTGTGAAGTGTTGAAGACAGTGTGTACCAGAACCATGGTGATAGATGTCTGGGGTTTGGGTTAATGTGTCCGGTGGGGAAGGAGCTGTTCTCACATTCTTGGGAGAGGGCCCGAAGTGGCTCTGGGGGATCAGGTCCAATTCCTTGAGCAGGAGTTGCTTTGATTTTGACTTGGTTTTAACCCTCTCCAGAAGCGGAAGTTGAAAGATGGAGGTGAAAAAATGAAGAAGAAGAAGAAAGATGATTCTTATGACAAGGAGAAGAAATCCAAAAAGTCCAAGTTTCCAAAAGCTGGGTAAGGAGGAGGAGGAGGAGGGAATGCTTGCTGCTTGACAGCTTGCTTCAGGTGGCATTTGTTATGCTGCAGTAGTACCTGTTGCAGTGGGGGGTGGCTTGAGTGCATGCTGCATAAACACCAGGAGGTGAACCCCCGTTGCTTCCAAAGTGGGAGAAAAAAGGCAGCTGACAATCAGGGAAGGAGCAGAGCTCCACAGCAAGAGTGTCCCAGCAAAGAGGGTCAGAGCTAGCTGCAGTGTTGGTGTTTCTTGGAGCTCTGTTTAGGCGCTAATGGTGGGAGCAGATACTGGAGAGCCTGAACAGAAGGAAAAGGTATTTGCTGTCCTGGCTTTAGTAGGCAAAAAGCATCAAGCTGCTGTCATGCTAACTCTCTCTTGCTTCAGTTCCTCTGCAGTAGTTGTTTGTGCATTTCCCAATCTTCCTTGCTGGAATAATGCGTGTAGCTAAATAAGAGCATAACTTAGTGGAGATGGTTTAAGCTCCATCATCTCTCTGCAATGAGGAAGGACTTGTACTTCTCTTCTCCAGGCTGAACAAGCAGCAAGACCTTAAGAGGCCACAGAATATTTTTCTGGTGTAATTGGTTAAGGGGCTAAGCCTTTCCAGGGGTTTGGAGCATATGGCTGAAGTGAACTGGGATGAA